TCCAGGGCAGAGGGTGGCAGGAGGAGAGGGAACATGGGGCACCTGACCCGCATCGCCAACGCCGTGGTGCACAACATGGAGAAGGGGCCCATGCAGGCCCAGATCAGTGACTTCATCAAAGGTACTGCCTGCTCCTCCTCCTCAGCCTCCTCCTCTTCCTCCTCCTTCAGCTCCCCCTCGCTGCTCTCCAGGGAAAAATAACCCTGGGAGGACTCACTGCAGGTGTTTCCTCAAGATCCTTTCCCACTGGAAAGGGTTTCCAGGGAAATCCCACATCATTTACAGTATGGTGAGACCCCATCTGGCTGCTCTTGGTTTTCACACAGGGACGTTAATGTACAGTTAATTATACAGTGGGAGTGCCATGGCAGGGGTGGCACTGGATGGGCATTGAGGTCCCTTCCCACCCAAAACATTCCATGATTCCATGACAGCTCTCTGAGGAAAGAGGTTAAATGTCCCCAGAGGTGCTCATCAGGGATATTCCCATTGCCAGGCTCTGTCCACCCTGCCCTCACTGGATCCCCTCGGAGAACTGGTTTTGTCCCATGGGTTTGGGTGGGAGGAAGGAAGATTTTCCATTCTCCACATTTTCCATCCCCACTGCTCAGCCCCTGCCCGACTGGGAGGGGGCACAGCCAGGCAGTGACAATCTGGGGTCACAATCTTCTGCTTTTTCCTCCTTTTATAATTTCTCCATTAACTTTGCTGAGCCCTCAAGTTCTGCTCACCTTTGGGCTCCCAGCTGTGCTGTTGTGCTGGGCTGGGAGGGAAGGGAGGGAAGGGCCCCCCAGTCCCCAGGAGAAAAAGAAGACCCAAGCACAGCTGGAGGCCTGCTCAGGGTTGTTGCCAGGTGAATCCCCAGGGAGTTCAGCTGGCTCAGAGCACCCAAATCTCACGGTCTGTGTGTCCCTGTCCTTCCAGAGCTGCCTGAGGACTGCAGGGGCAGGTGGGAGAGTTTTGTGGAGGAGACGCTGACGGAGACGAACAGGAGGAACACGGTGGATTTGGTGAGTTGGTCACTCCAGTGCTGCTGGGCTCCCCCTGACAGAAAATAGGGACATTCCTGGTTTTCTCATTTGCCTTGTTTTGCTGAAGAACGCTTCAAGGCAGAGTGGAAAGCATTTCCATAAACATGTTCCGTAGCAGTCCTTCAGCAGAGCTGATCCCTGGTGCTGAGCTGGGATTCCTGCCTGGGCAGGAGTTTGGGTTTTGGTGGAACTGAGGCACTGGAGCTTTTCCAGCTCTCCCTGGTTCCCTGACTGGTTTGTGCATTCCCAGGTGAGCACCCACCACCTGCACTCGTCCAGCGAGGATGAGGACATTGAAAGTGCTTTTCCCAACGAGCTCACCCTCCAGCAGGTGAGTGGGAACATCCCCAGTGTTCCCGGGAGCTCACTGCTGCTGGTGTGGAGCAGCTTCCTGGGCCCTGCTCCCAGTTTGTGTGCTCAGCTCCTTTGGCCTTTCCCAGAGCAGTTCATGGCCTGGGAGCAGCACAGGAGGTGCTGGGGAGGGAATCCCAGAGCTCTGTGACCCTGCTCTGGGAAGGGGAGCAGTGAGGGTTCCACACACTCCCTGGGACTGTAAGGCTTCCCTGGAGGAGCTCCACTGGCTGTTTCTGGGCTGTCCCTGGACACCCTCATGATGGATTTTTTGGGATCCTTCCCAGGCCTTCTCCGAGTACCAGATCCAGCAGATGACAGCAAATTTCGTGGATCAGTTTGGCTTCAACGACGAGGAGTTTGCAGACCAGGATGACAACATCAAGTGAGTCTGGGGGTGTTTGGGGACGGCACCAAGTGAGTCTGGGGGTCTCTGGCATTTCAGCCTCTTTGCATCCCATCCTCCCTCTGCTTCAGGTTTACAAATGAGCCTCGTTATCCCTCCTCAGGTTGGAAACAGCTCCTTGTTTTCCAGGAGCCCAGCCCGATCTCCAGAGCCAGGTGGAGAAGCAAGGAAAAGTATTCCTTCATTTTAAAGAGGGATATTGGAAATAAAGCAGGCAACTGTTGTCCAGCCCTGGTCTGGAATGAGTTTAAATGAGAGCAAACTCTGGGCAGTTAAACATATCTTTTCCAAGGAATTAAATCCTTGTTGGAATGAGGAGTGAAGGCCTAGTGCTGTGGTGGAATCCATGGAAAATGGAGCCATTTTCCTCTCCTGAGGAAGGGAGCAGTGGCAGTTCAGGGAGGCAGGGAAGGGGATTCAGTGTTACACAGCTTGCTGAATCCAGAGCTTGGAATTTGCTGCTTTTACAGAATTCCTTTAATCCCAGTAAAGCTGCAGCTCATCCTCTCTCCTTAGAAATGTACCTGGCACTGGGATTATCCCACTGGCCATAACAGTCCTGAAACTGGGACCAGTTATGGACTGAGCAGCATTCCAGGGGTTCCCAGTGCTCCTGGCTTTGTCTCCATCCCAGGAATTCCCTGGGATCCACGGCAGCACCTCTGCCCTTCCCATCCAGGGTTTTTCCTGAGCCTCAGTCAGAAACTTGGTAAGACCAAAAAGTTGCAGAATGGAATCAGAGTTTGAACAGAATTTTTCCAACAGAATTGTTCTGTTTGAATTGAACAGAAATTACTCAGTTCTACACAAAAATTCAAATAAATAAATTAAAAAAACCCTTTTCACTGCTGGCAAACAGGGCCCCATGTGAGTGAGGGGCAGGGAGGAGTTAAATCCCTCGTGCCAGTGTAAAATGAGCAGGAACCTGGGAAAAGTCTGTGCCTGGGATGTTATGGCTCTGTTTGTGCTTGGAAAAGGAGAATGTCCTGCAAAACCTGGAGTATTCTGGGAGTGGTGCTCCCTGCCAGCTGTTCCCAGCTGTTGGACACTGGGCTGGAAGGGAATTCAGAGTCTTTCATAGAAAATAACGCTGGAAAAGCTACAGACCCTTGAGTAGGGGAAGTGAACTCTTCCTTGGATCCAGACTCTGGGAATTGGGGATTTCTGGGCCTGCAGCACCCTCTGCTGTTCCCCTGGCTTGGGCTGGGAATTGGCTCATCCTGGGATATTCACAGCAGTGCTCCACCTCGGGCTTTGAGCCACTCCTGCACTGAGATTCACAGAATCCCAAAATCCCTGGGGCTGGAAAAGCCCTCCCAGACTTTCCAGTCCAGTCTGTGCCTGATCCAGCCCAGAGCCCTCAGTGCCACCTCCAGGAATTCCTTGGACACTCCAGGGATGGGGATCCAAACCTCCCCGGGCACTTCCAATCCCTGCCCACCCTTTCCATGAGGAAATACCCCAAAATCCACCCTGCCCTCCCCTGGCCCAGCCTGAGGCCGTTCCCTCTCCTCCTGTCCCTGTTCCCACATCCCAAATCCCCCCAGGAATCCCCCCCAGTGCCCCCCTGCCATGGGCAGGAATGTTCCCTCAGGGTGCAGGAGTGGCTGTGCAGGGATCCCAGCCCGGGAGTGGCTCTGTCCTTGCTGTTGTCCCTTTGGGGAGCTCCTGGAGCCATCCCTGAGCCTCTTCCCTCCCTCCTCCTCCTCGCAGCGCTCCCTTCGACCGCATCGCCGAGATCAACTTCAACATCGACGCCGATGACGACAGCGTGAGTGGGGACCTGGGCTAGTGCTGGAATAAATGTGGTTCTGGAAAGGTCCTGCTTGCATTCTGACACAACAAGGGTTTGGGGGCTTTGGGCAAGGCCTGAGAGAGCCAGGGCCCTGCTCGGGAATGTTCCCAAGGCTCCTCCCAGGAAATGTTCCCTCTGAAGCAGCAACCCTGGCACGGAGGGAATGTCCCTCCCTCCCTGCAGAGCCACTCTGTTCTTAGAATCATGGAATCCCGGGATGGTTTGGGATAGAAGGGACCCCAGAGCCCTGCAGTGCCAGCCCTGCCATGGCAGGGACACCTCCCACTGTCCCAATGTCCAGCCTGGCCTTGGGCACTGCCAGGGATCCAGGGGCAGCCACAGCTGCTCTGGCAATTCCAGCCCAGCCAGCAATTCCCAATTCCCCAGATCCCAGCCAGCCCTGCCCTCTGGCAGTGGGAGCCATTCCCTGTGTGCTGTCCCTCCTTGTCCCCAGTCCCTGTGCAGCTCTCCTGGAGCCCCTGCAGGCCCTGCCAGGGGCTCGGAGCTCTCCCTGGATTCCTCTCTTCTCCACATGAGGATCCCCAGCTCTCCCAGCTTTCCATCATCTTTGCAGGCACAGGTTAGGGAAGCACAGGCAGAGATGGATTTCTCAGGGATCTAAGCCTGGCCTGGCTGTTGTTGCCTTCCCTGGTTTATTGCCACACAGCAAAGCAGCAGCTGGGCTGCAGTGATCGCAGCTCCCGAGCAGAGCTGGGTTTGGTGTCCCTGAGCCCCGAGCTCGGGGCAGTGTCCCCAGGGAAGCTGTGGAATGTTGATTCCCTTTGCTCCTCAGCCCAACGCCTCCCTGTTCGAGGCCTGCTGCAACGAGCGCATCCAGCAGTTCGACGACAACGAGGAGGAGGAGGATATCTGGGAGGACAAGGAGATCTCCTACACGGCCCAGGTCAAGGCCAGGACACGGTAAGGTGAAAGCACAGCCCTCATCTTCCCCCTCCTGCTGCGAGTCGGCACAGTTCACTCCCGGCCCCCTTCCTTGGGGTTTGTGGCATCCTGGGCTGTGAGGTTTTACCTGACACAACCCCGAGCACTTTCCCTGCCACTTGTGCTGGGGGCTCTGCTGAGCTGGAGACAGATCCAGTTTGAGTTCCAATTTATTACAATGGGAACACCTAATTAATGAGTCTTCTATCAAACACATTAAACTCCCCACCCTTAGTGTGAAATTTGCTCCTTCCCTCATCCTTGGAGAGGAGGAGGAGGAGGAGGAGGAGGAGGAGGTGAGACTGAGGGGCGTGGGCAGAACTTTCTTTCTCAGAACGTTCAAATCAGAAAAGTGAGAACAAGAGGCCTCTCAGGGGCATCTCGGCCTTTGAAATAATTATTCATCCCTTTGACAGAGCTACTCATTAAATAAAGTTATTTCCATAATTCCCAGTCTGAAATGTGATCAGAGGAAACAGGGAAAACATCCGAGGACAAAAACATCCTCGCTGTGTCCTTGCCAAGCATCAGCAGCCTCAGGTCCTGCCTGGGGACAGGGTGGGTGACACTCCGGTGTCTGTCCCCTGGCTGGGCACGGGTTTGTGAGCTGTCCCCAGCCCTGGCTCTGCCCTGCACCTCCGGGGAATTCTGACACCAAAGCCCCGGCAATGTGGGGGAATCTCTCCGAGCACCCACGACTGCCCTGAGCGATTGGGGGAAATATTTTAGGGGAAAAGGCTCTGGGCTGTCTCCCCGGGCCAGGGAGGAGGAGCTGCGGGATGCGGGCGTGGCTCATCCCCAGTTCCCCTTCAGGTTTGGAGCATCGCAGACGTCGGAGAGCTCCAAGAGTGACCTGGAGAACGGCGACCACGACGGCAGCGTGGACTCGGAGGAGGAGGAGGAGCAGCCGCCGCCCCCCTCCCCGCACAAGGGCGGCACCGCGGAGCGCAAGGACGCGGACTCCTCCCAAGGTAGCGGCTCTGGGGAGCCCGGCCTGGCATCTGCAGGGTCTGCACGGCAGCGCTCACACCCTGCCGGCTGCCCCGGGGGGAACGGCAGTGCCCGGGCTCGCTCTGTGCCTCTGGGGTCTGTGCGAGCTGCCCCAGAACAGCCCCACGGGGAGAATGCCAGGGAACGGCTCCCAGGGCTCCCGGGGCTGGTCTGCCCCTGGGGTGTCCCTGGGGTGTCCCTGGGATCCCTGGGGTGTCCCTGGGGTGTCCCTGGGCCCCCTGGCTGGCTGTGGCCGGGCTGGCTCCCCAGGCTGTGCTGTGCTGTCCACAGGGGCTGGCTGGACGGCCGTGTTCGAGCCCGCGGGCCCCACGCCGCCCGTGGCCATGGACGTGGGCTCCAGCGTGTGGGACTCGGCCACCCCACAGAGCAGCGCCCCGGAGGAGAAGGGCTGGGCCAAGTTCACAGACTTCCAGCCTTTCTGCTGGTAAGAGCCACGGGATTCCAGCTGCCCTGGGGCTTGGGGAAGAGGGGAATGTTTGAGATATGTTTTTGTGGAGTGCTTGGCTGCAATCCTTTCTTCTTCCCCTTTTCCTTCCCTTCCCTTCTCTTTTATTGTTTAATATTGTCTGATGATCCTGGATCAGGGCTCCTTTGTGCTTCCCACTGCTTCCCAGTGCTCCTGACTGGGGCTGGGACACAGCCCTGCTTTCTGTGTCCTCACTGGGGAGGAAAATCAGTGAATAAAGTTGAGAGAAATTCAGCACATGGATGGAAGGAAGAGCAGGGCCTGGCTGCTCCTGGGGCTGTGAGGGCTCTGGGACAATCCTGGCTCCGTGCTCAGGGCTCTTCCCTCCCCAGCTCCGAGTCCGGGCCTCGCTGCAGCTCCCCCGTGGACACCGAGAGCAGCGCTGCCAGGAGCCCGGCCCCGGGCCAGGACAAGAACTGTGAGTGACACGGGGCCACAGGGCCACACAGGGCTGCCATCAGCCCCTGGGGCAGGACAAACCCTGCCCTGAGGGCTCCCTGCAAGGCCCGGGGAGAAACAAATCCCGAGGGGTTGTTGGGACAGCAGGGGAGGGATGGAGCTGCAGTGAGCTGGGGCTGATACCACACAGACACTTCATTTGTCCCTGCCAGTGTCCCGGGCCAGGCTGCACGGGGCTTGCAGCACTCTGGGACAGTGGGAGGTGTCCCTGCCCGTGATGGCACAGGGTGGGCTTTGAGCTGCTTCCCTCCCATCCCATCCCATCCCATCCCATCCCATCCCATCCCATCCCATCCCATCCCATCCCATCCCATCCCATCCCATCCCATCCCAATTCCCAGCCCGTCTGCAGTGGCTGCAGGCCCAGTTTGATCCCCCGGGCCGTTGCCGGGAGCTGGGATTCCCGCGGTCCCGGTTTGGTTCCAGCGCGGGCCGTTCCTCCCGCAGCCAGCGCTGCCTGTGTGTGGAACGCGTGTGCGCCGCGCAAGGCGCCCCTGGTGGCCTCGGACAGCAGCTCCTCGGGCAGCTCCGACAGCGACGACGACGGCGACGACAAGGCCAAGGCTGGCACGGAACCCACGGCACAGGAGCCCGGCAAGGACAGGGCAGCTCCCAGCAGGTGGGAAGGGATCTCCGTGGGCTGGGATGGCCCCGTGTGGTTCCAGTGTCCCCCCTGCGTGGGCTCCGTGCCCTGCTGTCCCCTGGGAGTGCCACTCGGGGGCTGAGGGACACATTTAGCAAGGAAAGGCTGGGGCTTCTTTGGGTCACCCCAGTGTCCCAGGAGATCTCTGTCCCCATTCTTTGGGTCACCCCAGTGTCCCAGGAGATCTCTGTCCCTGTCCTTTGGGTCACCCCAGTGTCCCAACAGATCTCTGTCCCTGTCCTTGGGGCCTCCCCAGTGTCCCAGGAGATCTCTGTCCCTGTCCTTTGGGTCACCCCAGTGTCCCAGATCTCTGTCTGATGTGGGATCCAGGCCCAGGGCAGGATCCAGGTGGGGTTACTCAGACAAGCAGAGTGAAGGCTCCCATGGGATCCTCCTGCAGCCACTCGGGTTCTCCTTTTCCCCTCAGTGCCAATCAGTGCTAAAAGCACCAGGGAAGGCTGGGGCAGATCAGGGCTGGGGCAGCTTTGTAGGAATTGGATCCTCAATCCAGGCTGCTCCCCACCCCAGAGCTGCATCCAGAGACTGTGCCCAGATCTGACATTCCGAGGTTTTCCCTCATTCTCTGCCTGGGTTTGTGCACGTGGTTCAGGATCAGGAGCTGCCCTTCAGCCATGGCTGGTGACAGTTTGGGGTCATCCCTGGGTGTGCTCAGCCAGCAGCAGCTCCTGGGGGGCTGGGATTGCAGAGTTCCCTGGAATTAGGGCAGGACTTATCCCAGGGTCTGTTTGCTTGGAGGCAGCTCCTTCTGAGAAATGCATTAATTCTCATAATTGCATTAATTCTCATAATTGCATTAATTCTGATAGGTACAGTTGATTTTGATAAATGCATTAATGCTGATAAATGTAGTTAATTTGGATAAATGCATTAATTTTGATAAATACATTAGTTTTGATAAATACGGTTAATTTTGATACATTTCAGTTTGATAAATGCATTAATTGTGATAAATGCATTAATTGAGATAAATGCACTCTGTGTGCCTGGGAAGGGCCTGGCTGGGTGGGAATCAGGAGAGGGAAGGCACAGCAGGGGCAGAGCTGGGGCTGGAGCTGCTCCAGGCCTGGGCTCCCAGTGGGAATCAGCACCCAGAGCCTTCCCAGTGCCCTCAGCTCCCCCAGACCACCCTGCCCACAGGGGGAAGATCCATTTCCTGCCACATGCCTTAATGATTCCAGGGAAATCACTCACTCTGTGGGCTGTGGCTGTCTCCAAGCCCTTCCTCAAAACCTGCACCAAACCCCATTCCTGTTGCTATAGGAACAGGTTTCCCTTCCCCTTGTCCCTGGAATCCTCACAGACGTCTCTCATTCTCCTTGGAGCTGCCCAAGGCCTCTGTGGATTCCGTGGAGAACCAGATGTTGCAGCCCAGCAGATCCTCCAGATGTTCCACCCTGTGTGAGCCCCATCCCAGCTGCCCAGGGGGATCCTTAGGCAGGGACATGTGGCTCAGGAATTGCTCTCAGCTTCCCAGTTTGGATGCAGCTGCTCCGGGGTCCCAACCCTGGAGTGTCCAAGGGACAGCAGGACACAAACAAACAAACCCCTGGTTCATGTTGTGTCACCCCTGGCTCTGGCCCTGTGTGTCCAGCTGGGATTTTCCAGGAGCTTGGGGAAGGCAGAGAAATTCCCAGGTAACTCTGGAATCCTCCTGCCCTGGAAACTTCAGGGGTTGGGTTTGAGAAGTTTCTCTTGGAGCCATGGAGATGTTGAGCTCCAGGTTTTTTGTGTGGGAAGTGGCTTTCCAGTGACATTCCTGGGAATGCAGCTCCATCCCCGTGTCTCTCCAAGGTGTATTTTGGTACTTCTGAGGAGATCGTGAGCCCTGGAGGAAAGGGAATGTTTGGATCTCATTATTCCTCATTTTTATGTTTTTTTTTCAAGAGAAGTGATCCAAAAATAGAACCTCAGTCTCCAATCTCCATCACATGTGCAATTATCCAGCTGGGATTATTTTATTCCATGAAAACTCCCCCAGAGCCAGTGACAGGATTCCAGCTCAGCCATCTCCAGCTTTCCTCCCTTTTGGGGAGGTTTGCTCCAGGGGAGAGGGAGAAGGAAACTGGGAAAAAAAAAATCATTCCTGGGGCAGCTCATCCTCTGCCTTGGAAGCCAACAAATGGGATGTACACAGAAATCCCTTCTCCAGCTGGAAATCTGGGTGGGTTTATTCCAGCAGGAGATTGGGAGGGTTTGTTCCTGCAATTCTCCTTTCCCAGGATTTGAGCTTTGGTTGTTGGTGCCTCAGTGGGGCTGTTGTCCCTCAGGTGTCACCTCGGTGGTCGCTGGAGCACCTTCAGCACGTTTGGATCCTGGGCATCCAACCCCTGGGGTTTCCTGCGTGGGGTTTGAGGATCTGCCCCCAAAGCCAGGATTTTCAGGGTGCCCCAGGAGGGGCCCCTTGGGCAGAGCCCGTGCAGCAGAGCAGGCTGTGCCAGCCCAGCAGGGGCAGTTCGGGAGCTCCAGCCTGGACTGGCAGCAGGGATTGGGAATGCCTCCCTCAGGGAGATGTGCTGTGTGTCCTGCTGGCTTTGGGACCAGGATGTGCCCAGGTTTTTATCCCAGTTTATCGCCAGTTCCCATTCCCGATGGGATCTGTGTGAGGAGAGCAGGAGGAATTTTGTGTCCCCGTTGGAGCTGGAGCCCCAGAGCAGTGTGGGTGCGCTTCTGGCATGGGCTGAGCTCCATGGCCGTGTCCCCTGTCCCGCAGTGACTCGGAGGGAGCGGCTCTGGAGACGCTTCCCGTGGGACCCGGGACCCCCCGAGCCCGGAGCAGCTCGGCCACGCACACGGACGGGCACCAGAGAGTGGCCACTGCTGTCACAACTGCCACAGAAACGGCCACGAGAGACAGGTGAGGGCAAATCCCGGGATGGTTTGGGAGAGAAGGGACCCCAGGGCCCCTGCAGTGCCAGCCCTGCCATGGCAGGGACACCTCCCACTGTCCCAATGTCCAGCCTGGCCTTGGGCACTGCCAGGGATCCAGGGGCAGCCACAGCTGCTCTGGCAATTCCAGCCCAGCCAGCAATTCCCAATTCCCCAGATCCCAGCCAGCCCTGCCCTCTGGCAGTGGGAGCCATTCCCTGTGTGCTGTCCCTCCTTGTCCCCAGT